CCTTCCTTCCTTCCTTCCCCTTCCTTCCTTCCTTCCTTCCCCTTCCTTCCTTCCTTCCCTTCCTTCCTTGCTTCCTTGCTTCCTTGCTTCCTTGCTTCCTTGCTTCCTTGCTTCCTTGCTTCCTTGCTTCCTTGCTTCCTTGCTTCCTTGCTTCCTTCCTTGCTTCCTTGCTTCCTTGCTTCCTTGCTTCCTTGCTTCCTTGCTTCCTTGCTTCCTTCCTTCCTTCCTTCCTTCGCTTCCTTCCTTCCTTCCTTCCTTCCTTCCAACACATCTCCGTCGACCACTCAGTCTCGCTCCCCCGCGGCGAGTGCAACTAAACGAGAACCCAAGCATCGGAGATGCTTTTGGGAAAAACACTATGGTATAGATGGCCCATTTAGTTCAATGGTTGACCTGGTGATTGGCATAGGAACCTGTGAAATTATCGGAGGGTAACAAATGTATACAAATGTTACCCTCTGGTAAACAAACATAGCTATTGAAAATGGCCATTTATAGTTGATTTACCCATTAAAAATTGTGATTTTCCATAGATTTTGGTATGTTTACCAGAGGGTACCCCTCTCCCAGCTGTGAAACAAGACCCTTGAACGGCAACAAATCGGGCACCTGCGCATTGAGCATTTCGAGGCGTTTCACGCGTTCCTCCTTCTCGTTGTAAAGCCGATCCGTTTCCTTCTCCAACGTTTCCGCCTTTAACGGCCGGGTGCACGTTTGGTTGGAATTGGTGAGAATCCCCGTGTTTGGTTGAGACAGTCGTCGCTCATCTAGTGATGAATCCCCGGGGGAAACACGGGATTTTTTCTGAGTTTCTTGCACACAATTAGCGCACAAAGGCCTCCACTTACCAACATCCACCACTTAGCAAGTTAATGCTTTGAGGTAGCTCAAAGAAGAGCCGACCCAAAAGGCTCATTCGCTCGGTCAGTCAATCCTCCAGTTTTCAAAGCCCGCAGTGCCATATGGTCATCCGAGGGCCAATTTTTATTACTAAGGCCGCCTGTTTGATGGGGTCGCCATCCATCAATTCCTTTGGGGCATCTCTTGGGTTTGTATGGCTTTGTCTGAAAACCGTTTACCCCCCACATTTGATGCTTTATAATCACCTTCCCCATTAAAAAAAAAACTCCATTTAAGGAATTTACCGTAAGGAAATGAAAGCCCATGCTCAGACAAACCATATCATGTTGTTGTCAGACAAACCATATCATGTTGTTGATTATATACACCGTAAAATACCACATGTTATGGTGGCTTCAAGTACCCCATGTTTGTTGAGTCGTCCCCACTATATATAGCCCAAATGACTTGCTGTTCACAAGCCACAAGAATTACTGGTTCTTTTTTCCCATAGAAAAACCAGGGGTTTTTCCCAAGAAATAGAGGTGGTTTTCACCCATGGTTTCCCTGGAAAAATGATCTACAAATGCTGGTTTAAAAACGCATCGATTACTCGGTAAAAAAGGAGAGCAACTGGATTATAATATGCTTGCAGTATTACCCTCTGGTAATTTGTTACATAGCTATTGAAAATGGCCATTTATAGTGGATTTACCTATTGAAACTGGTGATTTTCCATAGCTATGTTAGTTTACCAGAGGGTACCTACTTCGAAACTGGGTCATCATGGTTAAAGCCTCCATTCCTATTGGTTCAATCCTCCGTTCAACCGCATGTTCGAAGGGTGGATACCGTCCATGTCCATTTTTTGAACAGCATTCCTATGTCAATGTCGAAAAGTTGGATCCCTGGAAAATCTGGAGGAAAGCATCATCATCATCTTCTTCTGGTTGGTGGTTTTAACCATCTTGAAAAATATGAAAGTCAATGGGAAGGATGACATCCCATATATGAAATGGAAAATAAAAAATGTTTGAAACCACCAACCAGTCTTCTTCTTTCTGGTGCTTGATACGAAATGGGGGAATGATCCAAAGGATCCAATCCATATCCATAATAACTATGAACAATCATCCCATTTCCCAATGCCCTGCGAAGTACCAGAAAGTCATCACAATCATTCACAATTACTACTCATCACTAATCATTACTAATCATCACGAATGATTACCATCAGTTTCCCACATATTCTTGTAATAATTATTATTTTTTCTTACTAATCAGTAATTTGGATTTGATGATTAGGAAGTTCCACTAATCACTAATAATTACCCTCTGGTAAACTAACATTACTATAGAAAATCACATTTTTATAATTCAGTAAATCAACTACAAACAGCAATTTTCAATAGCTATGTAACAAATTACCAGAGGGTCTATCCCAGTTATGTGTGGGATAAGTAGGCTTAATCCACTTATAGCTGGGATATACTCCACTTATTACAACCACTTATTAACTAATCATCAACCACTAATGATGTCCACTAATTTTCCACTACCATATCATAGTACCAGTCATTAAGGGTATGTCCACTTATTATAATCCACGTATTAAGTGGTACCACTACCATCATTTTCCACATCTTTTTCGAGGGCCCCCAGCTGGCGCTGATGCTAACGCCAGCGCCTCCAGCTTCCGGAGTTCAATCCTCGCAATTTCAGGTGCGAAACTTTATTGGAACAGTATATCTATACACATATACATCTATATATATAGTGTATATATATAGTGCATATATATATAACATATAGTTATATATATATATTATAGTGTGTATATATATATCATATAGTTATATATACATATATATCATATAAAGATATGATTGGATCCGTCCGGAGTAAGCTGAGTTCATTCAGCCCATACACAGCTGGGCATATGTCGTTTTTTCACTGACCTGGAAGCCTGGAATAAGCCATACTTCCAATGAGGTCGCAGTGATGTCTATATAATTTGCCCAGATATATATATATATATATATATTTGTTTTTCATGTATTTATATTTGTATGTGTATATCTATATGTATGTGTATATATATATATATATGATTATATGCATGTATATATATATATATGATTATATGTATGTATATGTATATGTATATATATAGGTATGTATGTATGCATATATATATATGTATATATATATATAGCGAGAGAGAGAAAGAGATCACCATTAAATATCCAATATAGACTGAATATAGATATAACTGTGTAAATCTTACCATATTTCACAAATCTGAAATGTTCGGCTATGTTGGGATAGTAGCCATCATTCCAGTGAGGTCGCAGTGAGGTCGTTATACCTTATCCAGATGGAACTAGAAATATTTACAAAGAGAAAATATACACATATCATCACATATCTGTGTATGCATGTACACCTGCATATCTGTTACACCAAAAGTATCGGTTTTAGGGAACATCACATGGAAAAAAAACAGGGATTTGGAACGTGAAAACTGTGGAAACTGTGAAAACACATGCGGTTTCCTGGACACTGCGTGTTTCCTTTAATCCGACTTCAATGTTGTTTTTGGATTGGCTTTTCGGTCTCCTCCCAACCCTATTGGTACAGTTCCAACCTGGCTTTATAGCAAAATCGGCGATGGTTTATTCTTCGCCCCATTTGATGATTTTGATGGTCAGATCCTATCAATTCCTATTATATCCATTTTGGTTGGTGGTTTTAACAATCTGGAAAAATATTAGTCAATGGAAAGGATTATCCCATATATTATGAAAAATAAAAAATGTCTGAAACCACCAACCAGCATTTAAATCTCCAATACCTCCAGTAATCAAACACGGCAATTGAACATCTACCACTACGAACTATAGATGAATTTCCCAGCTATATATAGAAACCTCTTGTAAGGGAGTTTCCAGCAAGCCATGTTTGAAAACACCAGCCTTCCAACATCTCTTAAATACCTCCCACCAATCAGATATAAATTTTCAATAATGTCCTTGTGGTAAAAATAGAGGGGCCGGTTTGGTATACCATCTATCATCATTTACCTGTTAAAGGGGTTTCTTCAAACCCCTCAATTTGAAAATCAACCAACCAATGGGAGGCCCATTGGCTCACCCAAAAAGCTCATCCTCATCCGAGACGAGCATTGTTTGGGCATGGCATCCCCAAACAGCTGCGGCCGGTGAGGCCCCCGGTTTCGATAACTAAGTTGTGGCGAAAAAAACTTGGTGAACTCCTGGGTTGATTGGGGAAATATAATTAACCATAGCTCATGGCTTTCAAAACCAAGAAACATCTGCCGTTTGGGCGGCTCACCCGTCTGTGGGACATCCACAGCATAAAAAAGTCGTGGTGAACATGTCTGAACGATCAAAAACCCAGTGCGATTTCCATATCCCAAACGTCATTCCATGCCCTGCGCGAGCAAGTTTTTTCTGAAGCGTGGATGATGTTTCGCTACAGAAAAACAGAGGCTATCCCAACCAAAATGGCTTTCTTTGGTTGTAGCCATAGAAAAAGAAACTCCAACCTATACTTGGTGGCTCATCCCACTTAGTAAGTGGGTTATAACCCTAGTTGTAAATGGGATAAGTAGGGTTAATCCACTTATAACTGGGGTTACAACCCACTTGCTAAGTGGGATGAGCCACCAAGCACCCATGTTCAATTTCAAACCTAGGATTTGTTTTCCATACTTTCGATTCATATGAGGCCACCTTGCACACCGTGAGACACGTTGTTGGCCCTGAAAACACCACAGAGGCCAACTGCTAAGCCTGACTCAAACTTTAACCCATTCCCCCATTAAACACCCCAGAAACCATAGTTTAGTACGGGATTTATATACACATTTATTTGGGAACCTGGAATGGAGGTGTTTAATTAATATACATATATATATATTAGTAATATAGCTATTATATTATTATATATATATATATATATTATTTAGGGGGATGGGACTATACCCAAATTCCAACCATTTTTGGATCAATTCCCCACCAAGCGTTGCACCAAGCAGCTCGTTGGCGGTCACCACACAGTTGCTCTGCAGCTCCTGCAGTTCCGCTTCCATCTGCAGCACTTCATCCTGGAGGTGATTGGGCACTTGGGGGTGACATTGGAATGGAGGAAAATGGTGGTTAATAATGGTTAATAATTGGTTAATAGGATGAACATGGATGGTTTCATACTATGATTAATAAGAGTTCATAATTGTTATGAATCGTTGATGTGAGTAATGAATAGGATAACTATGGGATTTTGACCTCCATAAGTTGGGATGTTCATTTGATATATACATGGGACATGATCATGGAATGATTCTTCAATTACCATTGGGTATAGTCATAACATTGTTCTGGGTTTTCAATTGGTAAGTTTATGTGCTATTTCATGGTGTTCATAGTAATTTCGATATAGTTGATGGGATATAGCTAGCCAAGAATATTCTCTGTTAATCATCTGAAAATAAGGATTTGCCTAAATAAAATGTGGCAAACCTCAATAAAATGGTTGAATTTGGTGGCATCCTTTTTTCACACACACACACATTATAGTTGACATTGCAATTGATGAAAATGGGGACCCATTTTCAAGTATGGCCAGCGGTCAAGGGGTGGGAGAGAAAATGTTTTTTTAGGGCCAAAAGCGGGAGGGTGGTATATCATTTATCATCATTTACCTAGAAAGAGCATTCAAACATATTCAAAATAGAGGCGAATATGTTGTGCCAACCTATTTTGAAAAAAATACCAACCTACTTGGTATGGTATACCATTTATCATCATTCACCATTTATTCACCAACTAGCAGGAAACTCAAGCATCTATGGCCCATATAAATCCCAACTTTGGGGGAAAGGAGAGGCCAGTTTGTCACTGGCCATTTCAGGAACCTAAATTGGAGGTACCTACTGTACCATATATAAGGCCTATTTTTCAGGCCTAAATTTCAGGGGATATACCCCAAAATATTTCCTTATATGGTACTAACGTACCTCCATTTTAGGATCCTGAAATTACCATTGAGTTTGGGTGCTTAATCCGCAGTGATGTTCCCACACGCGTTGGATTGGCGTACGCGTTGGATAGTATGGCTGAAATCCTGGCTTTTTTCCCAACCGTTTTTCGGACTTAGATCCAAAGTTATATATTCATATTAATATATATATATGTATAAGATTATGTATACATGTCATACAATATGTATATATTTATATATATATGTATATATATATATATATATGTATCATAATGGGAATATAGTTGATAACATGTGTTTTTTCTGTAGAAGTGTTCTTCCGTCACTTTTCGGCTCCGAGTTCTGAAGTTCTTCGGTCAGTTTTCGGTCCTCCAAATCCGGCAGCCTTGCGAGTTGTGCTCGCAACTCGGCAATCTCTGCAAGCTGGGCCTCCATGGAAACCATGGAGCTGCTGGGATACCCCAGTTATATAATAGAAAATAATGTATTATTGTATCATTGTTATTATTGTATGAAACCATGGAAAATAATGATGCTTGTATTATTGTATGAAATTGTATGAAATTGTATGAAATTGTATGAAATTGTATGAAATGATGATTGTATCATTGTATAATTGATTGTGATATTGTGACTTTTAGCTATTATTAGTGGACATTATTGGTGGTATGACTGGTATTGATGATTCGTGATATTTAATGACTGGTATTATGATATGGTAGTGGAAAATTAGTGGACATCATTAGTGGTTGATGGTTAGTTAATAAGTGAATTAGATCCCAGTGATAAGTGGATAAACCCTACTTATCCCACTTATAAGCGGGATATACCCTCTGGTAATTTGTTACATTGCTATTGAACATGGCTGTTTAGTTCGTTGATTTACCCATTGATAGCATGGTGATGTTCCATAGTTTTTTGTATGTTTACCAGGCACTAATCTTTTTGTGGGTAAAACAATGCCATAAAATGCCATAAACCACCCATGACGCATGGTTTTTTTCGCATCTATGGTGATGACTGGGATGGTTTTTCCATGGCATTTACGGGATTTTTTTCGGGGGACAGGAAGAATGATTTGACAGACCAATGTTCACCAATTTTGGTAGAAGCTTTGCAAGTAAACCTGGTTGGTGGTATACCTACCCCTCTGAAAAATGATGGAGTGAAAGTCGGGTTATTGTTCCCAATGTATGGAAAAATAAATATGTTCCAAACCACCAAGCAGAAACTTTGTCCATGTTCAAATGACCCCATGTTGCTGGTCAAACGATGCTCAACCCCTGGTCAAGCTCCCATTCTTGTTGATTGAAACCTATTCTTGTTGACTAAATAGCCAATAAATTTGTTGACATGGTGAATCTTAGATACCTGGCAAAAAAAAAAGAGAAAAACTGTTTTTAGCTGATTAGTTCATTTTACCATTGATAGCAAAAGATGAAAGTACTAGTTCGTATCTAACCAAGGTTGACCCAGTAATGGTTGAAGTTTAATGGTGGACTCATTTATTAAGTTTACTGTTTGAATGGTTTGGTAAAACACTAATTATAAATGATGTTTTTAACCAACAATAACGGGTGAATATCATGGGAAATACCTGTAAAATGGACCATGATATTTACATGGGAATATCTTGATAAAATAAACCAATTTACCATGTAACGTGGGAATATCGTGGGAATCTCTTGTTGAATAAAAACCCCGTTTTTTTCGTTGGTCAAACAGTCGCGGCCTCGCCCTCTCGCCGCAGCTGCCGCAGCAGCGAGCGTGGCACCTCGCAGAAGCCGCCCGCGTCGCGAGCGTTGAGGATGTCCTGCCACGGATCCTCCTCGGGGTCCAAGGTCCGGCAGTTTTGCCCCAAGGAAAATGGGGAGTTCAGCCAAGAAAATCCTGGAAAATGGTGGAGTTCACCAAGAAAAATGATGATTTCGGAAAAATTCATCAAGGAACATGGAAGATTTAAAAAAACGATTTAAGAAAGATAAAAGATGATGGAATAGTGATTTCACCAACCAAAATAGTGGTTTGGATAACATTTGGTTTTTATGGACAGCGGAAATGACATTTCCAAGATTTTCAAAGTACCTGGTAGTTCAAAGTGACTATTTTATAATGGTTATATAAGTCAATGAAGTCAACTAGGCCCTACAGTTATAGCCCTCAACAGTCCTAAATGTCTATATGTTTTTTTCTAACCTTCCATTCATAACTGTTAAGGGCCATCACTCTGGGCCTAATAACAACCAGGGTATAGCCCATCCGGCCAGGCCCTCCATTTCTGCCACGTCACTCTGCCCCCCAAATAGCTCGACCCATGCGCCACCGACGTCGCAGCGACGCCCACGCTGGGCGCTGGGCGACGCGCGGGCGAAGCTGTCGCTGCCGCGGCACCGCCTGACAGGAGCGGGTGAACACCGGAGCCCTGGAAAAGTGGGGAAATCACGACCGCCAAAAAGGATCATGGTTCATATTAGTGGTTCATATTAATGGTTCATATTAATGGGATAATGATGGGATAATGATGCGATAATGATAATGACATATCCTTATCACAATAGTCAGATGCATCATTTGGCGCTCAGCTACCCGTGGGTGATGGGCGAGAAGGAAGCAGTAAAAAAAAAACAAAAGTTCATAATTACGGGATGAAATATGATAAGATCCTGGAAGAATGAAATCCCTAAGCATTCTTAAGCTTCCACCAGGGTAGAATTTCACCTTCAAAACTTCGAAATGTTCGGCCGATGGCTTGGCAGAGCCCCGTGATGTTGCTTCTGGGTGACAGTAACCCATGGGTTGCTGGTAGAAATTCATGAAAGTTGCTGGCAAATCCGGCAAATCTGGCAAATCTGGCAAATCCTGATCTTTTTGTTGAGGTTTCTCTGAACATTTAGGGGGAAAGTCAACAAAAAATCCCATGGTGTTTCTCATCATTGTCCCCATCAAAATAGCTGCCATAACTGCGGGTATACCGTATACACCCCATCTAAGTTATTCACCACTTACCCAAGGTGGTGGCCCCCCTACTTGGCTAAGCTACATCAACTCGAAAGTCCATGACTGGGTAAAAGCGACCGGTTTTTTTTGACATAACTATGTCAAATCACCATCTTTCACAAGCAAATCATCGAACTGAATGGGCTATATGAATAACTACTGGAGGGTATCCAACTAAACATCCTTTTTTGCATCATGTGTTCTTAAATCATTGTTAAATCCTCCATGTTCCTCGATTAAATCACCAGAAATCACGAGTTTTCTTGGTGAAATCACCCGAAATCAGATTTTTTTCTTGGTGAAATCCATCTTCTGAGTGAAATCCCCCTGTTCGTTGGCCGATGTCCTCGCTTTTTGCTTTTTCCCCGCGGCCTGTGGGGGCCCAGTCGCCATGGGCCCAGTCCAAGAGCCGCTGCGCTTCCGCCTCCAGGTCCGCTGGCACCTCCCAGGGTTGGATGAGTTTCCACTGAATGATCCATAAGAAGTTCCATCTGAAAAGGGAAAAAATAATAAGTAATATAATTAATTACTATAATAATATATAAACTATAACACTGAATAATAAACTGAGAACCAAAGTAATTATCTATAGTTCAAAGGAAATTATGATAATGAACTGAGAACATCCATCTGAAGTGATGGATCATGTTTATAGATCATTCACTAACTTCAGTTACCTATGGATCAATACTATGGCATTCCATCTGAATCATTCCAGAAGGTTACTTGCCATAGAAGACCTGTGACCCTCTGGTAAAACACTTCGAGCCTGAAAAAATGAAATTCTTACTGGAAACTGATCTTAATCTTAATAGTTAATGGTGTGTTGGTTGTTAATATGGATGTCATACTATGGATGACTATTCACCATGGAGTTTTCTGTGACAAGTTGGATCAATAGTAACTATTATATAACAACTATTTATGATGATCCATAGTAACTACTAATTAGTTCAATGGTTGTTAATAGTTACTATGGATCATTCTCCCATTCCATCCCATTCCGTACCAGAGTTTGTTCTTTTAAATGGAACCAGGGAGTCGGGGACTTGCCAGAGTTGAATGGTTGAATGGTTTCTTAAAACCCCAACTCTCTAATGTTTTTAAGCTACAATAATGGGAATATCATGGGATATAATGGGAAATACATGGAAATACTAGTAAACGGGTCAAAAACCAACAGTTAGATTCATGGAGTATCCAAAGATTCATGGCTGAGATGAATGGGTTATAAACCACTTACGATTCGTGGGGCCCGCACGTCATTACTTTTATATAGATACAAAACACTAGAAGTATTAGAATGACTATACACTATCATCATTATTAGTGATATATATATATATATTTAAATAGATATATATATATATATATATTCTCACCAGTCTCTGATAGTATATGGGCATAGGTCGAGTCATTGGGTACCCCAACAATTAGATGGTTAGTACTAACGGTGTAAATAGTGATTATTCTATAGTTTATACTAATATAGTATATTTAGTGATTGCTTGTATATAGAAAATAATTGTGCAAAAATTGTATAAGATCACTAATTAGTGACTAACTTTATATACCATAACTATTGGCCATTGGATCTATTGCAAAAATAATAACAATATGATGATAATAAATAATGTAATGGTAATACTGAATATAATAGCAGTATAATAATAGTAACAATCATCATCATCACCATCATCATCATCATAGAATGATAATAACAGTTTAAATCACTGGCCATTCCTGGCGTTTTAGCGCGCCTGTCTCGGGGGCCAGCGCCGATCCAAGGCAGCCGCATCCTCCATGGCACTGGACACATGGCTTTCCGCGACCGATGGCGGCCGTTTGTTCTGCGCCGGGCGATGAATGTGTCCTTTTTCAGGAAGAATAGAGGGGCCGGGGTGATCAATGATTCTTATTGTTATTGTATGATCAGTATTATGACTATCGTTACCATGTTTAATATTACCAGTAGTACCGCACAAGGCGGTGGCGGAAGTTTCAAGGATAGGACACTATAGGAGAGGTGAGCTGTTGTGATGCATGGATGGCAGAGCGAACCCACTGATGGACCGAAAGGTGGTTGGAGTTGCAGTGGTTGCAGCCACAACTGCTGGATGTAGTGTGGCGTACTGCAGCTGTAGTTGTAGTTGTAGTTGTAGTGTAGTGGGGTTGTAGTTGTGTGTAGTGCAATCAGTGTAGTGAAGTTCCAGTTGTAGTTGTGGTGTGGTGTAATGAGTGTAGCGTAATGTGATGTAGCGTAGTGTGCTGTAGTGTTGTGGGCTGTAGCGTAGTCTAGTGTAGTGTGCTGTAGTGTTGTGTGCTGTAGTGTAGTCTAGTAAGTGTAGCCTGGTGTAGTGTAGTGTAAAGTAGTGTAGTTGCAGTTGTAGCTGTAGTTGTAGTTAGTGTAGTGTAATTAGTGTAGCGTAGCGTAGTGTAGTCTAATGTAGTGTAGTTGTCGTTGTAGTTGCAGCTGTAGTTGTAGTTGTAATGTAGTGTGGTGTAATTAGTGTAGCGTAGCGTTGCGTAATGTAGTGCAGTGTAGTTGTAGCTGTAGCTGTACTTGTAGTCTAGTGTAGCGTAGTGTAATGTAATTAGTGTAGTGTAATGTAGTGTAGCTATAGTTGTCGAAGGAAGTTTAGAAGTCAAACTTCCGACAATATGGACAGATGAAAAGCAGAGATGGGAAGCGTCAGAGAAGAGAAGAGAAGAGAAGAGGAAAGAAGATCAAAGAAGAGAAATTCAGAAGAAAGAAGATCCAGGCGCGCGATAAGGTAGGAAAGTCGCGATTCACTACGTTTTTCCAATGATTTGTGGCTCGGGAGGGTCGAAAAGTAGGCTCGCTAAAGCGGCAGGTGCGGAGCCATCTGGCCAGATGAGATGAAAAGTTGCAAGTGTAATGTAGTGTAGTGTAGCGTAATGTAGTGCAGCTGTGGTTGTAGTTGTAGTTGTAGTTGTAGTTGTAGCAGTGGTGGTGGTGGTGGTGGTGGTGGTGGTGGTGGTGGTGTCGGGTCGGGTCGGGTCGGGTCGGGCCGTGTACTGTACTGTACTGTGCTGTACTGTACTGTACTGTAGTGTAGTGTAGCGTAGGGTAGGGTAGTGTAGTGTAGTGTGGTGTGGTGTCGTGTAGTGTGGTGTAATGCAGTGTAGTGGAATGTAGTGTAGTGCAGTGTAGTGTAGTGGAATGTAGTGTAATGTAATGTAGTGTAGTGTGGTGTAATTAGTGTAATTAGTGTTGTGTAATGTAGCGTAGTATATTTTTTTGTAGTTGTAGTAGTAGTGTAGTGTAGTGGTAGTTGTAGTTGTAGTGCAATGGAAACGAGGCAATTCTGCGAGACTTCCTTCAAAAATGGAAAGTTGAGTGCAGAGCTGGCGGCCTCGTACCAATGCGTTTTCCGATTTTTCTGGTCTATGTCTCTAAAGTATTGCGCCTGCCAAGAAAAAGTGATGCCAGGTCACACGAAGTGCTGCACCTGTCACGCAAAATCACCTTAGCAAACCTACAGATCTGATACTCCAAAACGCAACCCCTCTCCGGAAATCAGCGCCCTGACCTCCTAATGGTCCTAACATCTCTGATGAACATGTCTCTTGTACTGCGTGTGCCACACGAAATGCATCTTTGCAGATCCTCTGCAAATGTCCCACACCTGCCATGCTACAAGACCTTCACGGTTTGCTCACTTTTGGCAAGGTGCAGCATCTGAACCTTCAAAAGTGGTCCAAGCATGTGGTGCTTTTAACATGTTGACTTGGAAATGTGCTTCGCGCCAGCACTTTTTCGACCTCAGCTTCCAAAAGTGCTCCGACGTTGGTGTGCTTTGTACATTTTGACTTGGAAAAGTGCTTCGCGCCACAACGGCGTGCACTTTTTCGACATCTCAACTGCGAAAAATTGTCCGAACATGCTGTGTCTTGTGCGTTTTCACTTCCAAATGTGCTTCGCACCGCAACGGTGTGCACTTTTTCGACGTCTCAGAAGCTGAGGTGTTTTGTGCATTTTGATATCGAAATGTGCTTCGTGCCACAACGGCGTACAATTTTTCATCTCATCTGGCCAGATGGCTCCGCACCCGCCGCTTTAGCGAGCCTACTTTTCGACCCGCCGGAGCCACAAATCATTGGAAAAACGTAGTGAATCGCGACTTTTCTATCTTTTCGTGCGCCTGCATCTTCTTTCTTCTGACTCATTCTCTTCTCTCTTCTTCTCTTCTCTTCTCTGACTCTTCACATCTCTGCTTTTCCATCTGTCCATATTGTCGGAAGTTTGACTTCTAAACTTCCTTCGATTATTACTACTTTGCTGTGATTATCTATTATTGTTATTGTTAATTACCGATTGGATGGAGGGAACCTTCTATTAATCAACCAACCAGTGGAAAAAGGACATCTATCGCGCCGGGATTAGGGGATTGGTTATCGGGAAAATTCCGTGAAAAACATCCGGAAACCCTGATGTTAGTTTATGGTCATCAAGGATATGTTTGGTGTTGTCTTACATGTTGCTTATCAAAAGTAGTTTTTCCGATTGAAGGATTATAGGAATGGTGAGGGAACGTGTGGTTAGCTGTTTGGGGGCTGGAGTGCATCTCGATGGGCTCATAGCCACAGACTGGAGACTCTGAGTCGCAACCCCAGCTAGAAAAGTAAAATCCTAGTAAGCTTAAATAGTGGTAAATCACTGTTCTATCTTGGGGTAAGCCAAAGCGATACTTCAACGTGGGTAGTTGGATAATGGTCTGATATCCCCTTTGGGAAGGCAAACAAATCTCCACAAAATATATCCCCGAACCCAGGCGGGTGTCTTAAAATGTGTGTAAATCAATAGTGAGCCATCCCCAATTTTACCATAAATGAGTGGTAGAAACCATCAATTTATATGGGTGGTTTATGGCATTGATTTACTCACATCAATCCCCGTAGAAATGCTTCACGGGCGTGTGTAAACCTTTTCTCGATGGCGTTGGCAGTGTAGCCCCCACACCTACAATACGGGAGACCCTGGCAATTCGCGAACTGGAGGTTGCCCCAGAATACCCCCCCAGTTATAAGTTGGTTTTTAAACCATCATAATCCCCATTAACTAGTTCGTGAAATATCTACCATAAACCACAATTAAACCACAAACATAAACCAACTGAACACCAGCTCGACTGGGGGCCCCATCCGAGCCATAGAGAGCAATATGATGATCTACAATCACTACAATCAAAACTGTTTGGTGGTTAATGGTGGTTAATGACCATTAATGGTGGTTAATGGTGGTTCATAATGGTCAATAATGGTTAATTATATCTGGTTGGTGGTATACCTACCATCTTGAAAAATATGAGTTCGTCAAATGGGATGATGACATTCCCAACTGAATGGAAAACAAAATTCATGTTCCAAACCACCAACCAGAAAAGCAGTTTGGCTAATTACCATACAAACCCAATAAGACCCAAAGTGGTTGGTGGTTAATGACCCCTTAGGCCTTCCAGTAAAAGCCCCACACTACTTTTCTTTCCTGTTGGGGATAACGATATGATCCCCATTAAAAATGTCCGCAATATATATATATACATATATATATATATGGGCAAATTATACTAATTCACAAACCTGAAAAGTTCGGCTATAGTAGGATAGTTCCCCTTACTAACCATGATTCCAGTGAGGTCGCCTGCCTGCACTTTGCATTTTAGCTTTGTTTGTGCGGTTTGGTGCTCGTTGCTGCTTCGTTGCTGGTTTTCGGCGGTTGCCTGCCTGTGCTTTGCATTTTAGACAAAGCCACAACGCAAAGTATAGGCAGGCGACCGGATAAGACCCACTACACCCCAATCTTTGTTGGTTAAGCTCCATATGTCCTGGGTAAATCCTAATTCTGAAAAGTTCACCAATCCATTCACCATCATTCCAGTGAGGGAGAACAGTGATGCCGTGACGGAATTTACCAGGATATATGTATCCCATTATAGGGTGTTATTTTCCAAGTATAAGGAATATGTATCCCCAGTTATGGATGTATTCCCACATAAATTCCCATTGTGTCTCCAGTTATACATTCCATCTCCCCATATGATAATTGATAATTCCCATTATGATCCCATTATAATCCCAGTTTCTTTCATAAATATGATGACTATTCTGAATAATTCCCATGAAAATTATATACTATACTATATATATATATAAGTATACCATTTTATTGTTTACACACAAATATACTATATATATATATATATTATAATTATACTATTTTATAGATACCCTCTGGTTATTTAACATAGCCATGGAAAATGGCCCATTTATAGTTGATTTACCTATTAAAAATGGTGATTCTCCATGGCTATGATAAATAACCAGAAGGTAATTATTATATACTATAGATGTTTAAACATCTGCTGGAGGCTAACCTCTTGCCGTCAACCGCCGCAACTCATCTGGCGATCTTTCGCACTCATCTGGCGTCCGCTGGCACGGCCTTCATGGAGCATGGGAATTGTGAAGGATTCACAAACTCGTTTACCATGGTTATAGTGTGTACATATGTATATGTATGTATATATGTATGTATATATGTATGTATGTATGTATGCATGCATGTATGTATGTATGTATGTGTATATATATATATGTATATGTATATGTATGTATATGTATGTATGTATATGTATATGTATATGTATATGTATATGTATATGTATATGTATATGTGTATGTATGTATGTATATGTATGTGTATATGTATATGTATGTATGTATGTATATGTATGTGTATGTATGTGTATGTGTGTGTATGCATGTGTATGTATGTCTATGTATGTATATGTATGTACATGTATGTACATGTATGTGAATGTATGTACATGTATGTGAATGTATGTGTGCGTATGTGTACTTATGTGTATGTATGCGTATATATGTGTATGTATGTGTATGTATGTGTATGTATGTGCATGTATGTGTATGTATGTGTATGTATGTATATATATGTATATGTATGTGTATGTATATGTATGTGAATGTATGTGTGTGTATGTATGCGTATATATGTGTATGTATGTGTATGTATGTGTATGTATGTGCATGTATGTGTATGTATATGTATGTATGTATATATATGTATATGTATGTGTATGTATATGTATGTGTATGTGTATGTATGTGTATGAAGTGTATGTATGTATGTATGTATGTATGCATGTATGTATGTATATGTATATGTATGTGTATGTATATGTATGTGTATGTGTATGTATGTGTATGAAGTGTATGTATGTATGTATGTATGTGTATGTATGTGTATGTATGTGTATGTATGTGTATGTATGTGTATGTATGTGTATGTATGTGTATGTATGTGTATGTATGGGTATGTATGTGTATGTATGTGTATGTATGTGTATGTATGTGTATGTATGTGTATGTATGTGTATGTATGTGTATGTATGTGTATGTATGTGTATGTATGTGTATGTATGTGTATGTATGTGTATGTATGTATACATGTATGTGTATGTATGTATACATGTATGTATACATGTATGTATACATGTATGTATACATGTATGTATACATGTATGTATACATGTATGTTGTCTGTCTGTCTGTCTGTCTGTCTGTCGGTCGGTCGGTCGGTCGGTCGGTCTGTCTGTCTGTATGTATGTATGTATGTGTATATATACATATATTATATGTATACATATATGTATAGATATATATGTGTATATACGTGTATATATGTGTATATATGTATATACGTATATATATACTATATATATACTATATATATATGTATATGTATGTATATGTGTATGTAATTATATGTATATATATATATATATGTATTTGTATATATATATAAACAAATACATATATATATGTATATATAACCCAAAAAAAATATAGAAATGGGTTTCAGTGGAATATGTTTACTATGTTTTGAAATGTGAGGATCATATTTGGAGGATCATCGCACGAATCGTGGTGAATAAGCCTAGTTAGTAAGTCCCCTAAGTGGGGTTGTCCCATTTATAACTATGGTTATAGTAAACCCCAAAAGATATGGTATAATGTAGGCTATTTAACCCCAAAAAAACAATGGCACATTTCAATTTTTAGTCAAAAAATGTTACGATGAAACATATTTTCTACCATTTCTTGAGTGGGATTTTACTTTTCTATGTGTTTTGGGGATGGCTATACCCTGTGGTAATCACTGGTAATCTAACGTAGCCATGGGAAATGGCCATGTTTTTCTATACGTTTGATTAGCGTAAATCACCAACCCAAATGGGTAAGCGGCTATGCAATTTTCGGCGCAACCCACCATGTTTAACATGACTGTAAAAAAACCCACAACTGGAAGAGTTTCAAGACTTGGGATTCAAAAATCCTCCAAAACTCCCATGATTTTGCCATTGACAACAGCCATACAATAAGGGATGTTGTGGTCGCCACATACAACGGACTGGTCGCCACAAGCAACAAGTTTTTTGGGATACCATGGTATACCAAAATGTGATACTCCGAAATTGCCATTTACTTCCATTTACCCTCCAGTAATTTGTTACATGGCTATTGAAAATTGCCATTTATAGTGGATTTACCCAGCTATAAAATGGTGATTTTCCACAGCTATGTAACAGTTTACCAGAGGTTAAACCTCCATTAATCACCATTAGATCCCACTAAATCACCATGAAATCCCATTAAATCACCATTAATCACCATTAAATCACCATTAAATCACCATTAAATCACCATTAATCACCATTTTTAGGATCCTGAATTTAACGATTACAACGAATGGCTCATTTCAATCGTTTCAGACACCTCCAATCCGTAAAATCTCCCAAGTCAGAGGGAGATTTTATGATGGCCACATAACCTTTGTTAAGAGGACATAACCAAACAACCAAGGTATTTTTAATAGCTCATACAACCAAATAGTTATGTTTTTTCATATTGCCATTAAACATCCAATATTATTATATAATACATATTATGACAATATATAATATATATATATATTGCTATTAAACATCCTATATATATATATATGTATACATACAAGCTATGTATATATATATATCCTATGGTTTACTATAGTATTCCTGACTTTCTAAACCAAGCCCCGGCTCCCGCCTCCGTTGCATCGGCGCTCGGATTGGCGCTCCTCGCCTGGTGCAGCGCCGGCGCGAAGCCCACTTTGGGCGAGCTGCTGGCGTCGAAGACCGTGTAGTACCTCTGTGGTGGTGGCTGCCCTCTGGATTTAATGGTGTTAATGGTGATTTAGTTGGATTTTATGGTAATTATGAGTTTTTCTTACTAATCAGTAATTTGGATGATTAGGAATTTCCCACTCATCACTAATCATCACCCTCTGGTAAACTAACATAACTATGGAAAATCACCATTTTTTATAGGTAAACATACAAAAAGCTAACTGGAAAACCACCATTTTTTAAGAACGGGGAATCCTCCTTTGCGAACTGTTAGTGCAAACCAGAGGGTAATGATGGCTACGAATGATGGCTATTACCCTCTGGTAAACTAACATAGCTATAGAAAATCACCATGTTTTATGGGTAAATCAACTATAAATAGATTAAATAGCCATTTTCAATGGCAAACTGTAAACGTTTACCAGAGGCTAATGGTTTACCAGAGGGCTATGAATAATGGTTTACCAGAGGCTTCTGTCCGGGATGATCATCTGTTTTTAACGAGTCCCATTGACGATTATATCCTATTTTTTGTATTTCCGTTCTATTACCATTAAATTACCAATACCAATGGTAATACAAATATCATGTATATTCATTTATTATAATGGTTAACGAGTGGATTCACCCGACTTGTCCCACGAACATAGCTAGGGATAGAACTGATCTGGTTGGTGGTTGACCTACCACCCTCTGAAAAATGATGGACTTCGTCAGTTGGGATGACGACAGTCCCAATATATGGAAAGTCATAAAATTCCATGGTTCCAAACCACCAAGCAGTGTTTGTTGGTTTATAAACCATTATAATCCCCATTAACTATAGTTATATCTACCATAAACCATAGTTAATCCACATTTCCCAAGCAGTACTTAGTAAATGGAATGAGTCAACAAGTAGCAACGCCTATAGCGGAAAAACACGCGGAGTTCATGGGAAATTCATGGGAATTTTGGGGAAATATAATGGTTTTTAATGGGAATAAATGGGATTTCAGGGGAATTTAATGGGAATAGGATTTCATGGAATGTCATTGGGATTTCATGGGAACTTATGGGGATCTCATGGGAACTTATGGGGATTTCATGTGAATTTCATGGAAGTTCATTAGGATTAAATGAGAAATTATGGTGATTTCATGGGAAAATCTTGGAATTTCACTGGGATTGCATGGCATTTAATGGGATTTTTTGCTGACATTTTTTGGAGATTTCCATGGGAGTTGCATTGGAATTTAGAGATGAGATGGGATATACTGACCATTTTCTGGCGATGCTCTTTGAGACGACCTACCTTGATAAAATGATGATTTGAATGGCCAAAAACTGTCAGGATAAAATGGTGATGTAATATCATTGCCTATCTTAGATACCCTGCAAAAAATTAAATTCTTTGCTGGTTAGTAGATATTCCAATTGATACCAAAAGACTGAAGGATTAAAGTAATTATCCATCTAAGATTGACCTAGATATGGTGACATTGGGCATATCTTATGGGTTTAGAAATGGTACAAGTAATAGTGGGGATTATTGGAAGATACCTAGAAGATGGTGGTACAACAGGTATATTTCATCGGATACCACCTACCACGTTGAGGAAATTATGGCTAACCATCAAATTTGGCGGTACCCTATTTTCTGCCAGTATGATGATTCTGCGACAAATCGGATAAAATTTGGATGTAACTGTAACATTATCTAACTTATTTAACCAGCCAGAAATTGTGGTTTTGCGAAGACAGATGCAGAAAAATTGTGATTTACCTAAAAAAAACACACTAAAAATGCTATGCCAAACTGCTGCGACACCATATTTTCATGATGAGTAAGTAGCTAACAACCACAAGAATTTTCATGCGCTACTGCTACATCTTGGTTAGCCTACTGGCTTGATCAAGTTCCCAAGTTTCCAACGGTCCAAATCTACCCATTGACAAATCGTGAAAATGGGCTCAGAAGATTGAAAAAGGCTAGTATCAGTAGCCCTCAGTAGCCCTCATTTTCATTCATGTTCTCCTATTATACCTATTATATACCTATTATATCGAGTATTATTGGTATACCTATTATACCTATTGGTGAAGAAGATTCCAGTATTATTGGTATACCTATAATACCACTCATTTTCATAATAGCTCTATTGGTGAAGTAGATTCTATTGGTGCCATCGGTCATATCCCTCCCGAAATTTCGCTGCATTGATTCCAACAAACAGAAAGGGTTCGCAAAAGGAAAACCAAAGACCTAAAGAAATGCACCCGACCTGGTAAACATACAAAAAGCTATTGAACATGGCTGGCTTATCGTTGGTTTACCATTCTGAAAAATTGTGATTTTCCACCGTTTTTTGTATGTTTACCAGAGGTTAAACCTCCATTAAGCACCATTAGATCCCAGTAAATCACCATGAAATCCCATTGAATCCCATTAAATCATCATTAATCACCATTAGATCACCATTAATTAATCACCATTTTTAGGATCCCGAAATTCCCATTGAAAAATGGGTGGATTTTCCAGTTCGCAAACTTTCATATCTCATACAAGGTGAGACCCAGGGCCTTTTTGTCAGAAAAATCATCCCCATGAACCCATGAACTGTGAACCAAGTTATGAGCATCAACCTGTCGCAATTTCGTAAGGCCGAAAACCTCGTAAAAATAACATGCTAGATATATATATATATGCAGCACAAGAAAAACTATGTTAACCCAACTCACATCTGTAGCTTTTCCCAACATCCAGAAACACGAGGTATCGGTGATATTCCCGGTGTAGGTCGATGACCAGACCCAGGATCTACATAGGGCCAAAACATCCTGGTTGAACCTGTTAAATGCTCATGTTGGAGAAGATGGTCCCCATTGCTGTTGGTCTATATACCTATTATATACCCATTATATACCTATTATATACCCAGTTTTTCCTATTATATACCTATTATATACCTATTATATACCTATTATATACCCATTATATACCTATTATATATCTATTATATACCTATTATACCCTGCCACATATAAATGGCCCTATTTTTGGGGTAGACCCAAAAAAAACATTGCCAAACATACGCTGGGTCAGTATCCCATCCCATTATACTGGTTAGTTGATAGGTATCCCTTTAGACTATGTGTTGTAATAATCCCCAATTAATCAGGTAGGTTAATAACCACCATTTCATAACCAACCACCAGAGGCAAATTTGTTCCTGGCTCATCTCACTTTATTGGTACATCCCCATGATATCCCAACACATATCCTCAATATTCCCACTTATATACCCATCCATACCCATCATATTACCATGGTGCTAGTTAAATTCCATGTTTTGTTATAAACTTTGCTAGTTGGAAGGATTGTTAGTTCCATCCACATTATTTCCTACACTCTAAAAACGGTTGAAATCATCCCACGGATCGTAAGTCTCCAATCAGTGGCTTGTATCCATGCGTATCCCATTTTGTATCGTGGGTGAACGAACTAACCTTAAGGTTACTAAGCAGTTACTAATTACATGGTTTGTAACTATGCTTACTACACCAGTTACTAAGTACATAGATGGTTTGCAACTATGCTTACTACCTGGTAATGAACCATAACTATGGTAATGATTCATAACTATGATTACCATGTAACATTTATAGATGGCTTATAACTATGGTGATAAACCACTTCCGAGTCCCCGATCCTCCACGGAATTCTCCGCGCCTCTGCAGCACGGGCTCCCCGAGGATCAGCGTGCGGGGGTGCAGCGGCGGCGGTAAATCAATGTGCATCACCATGGGCACCTGGGGAATATGATGACTATATCTGCTTGGTAGTTTGAACCCCTCCCAATATATGGAAAAATAAAAAATGTTCCAAACCACCAACCAGATATAATGACTATCATACCCATGGTGGGGATTAATCATTGACTAATGACTATCAGACACTATAGAAAAAATATATCAATTACAGTAGGATATACCCTCTGGTTATTTAACATAGCCATGGAAAATCACCATTTTTTATAGGTAAATCATCTATAAATGGGCCACCTATACGTAATGACTATATAATGATTATATAATGGGCACCTGAGAGGGAATTAGACAATGGGAATATCATTTTCCGATCAGACAATGCTGGGGATTGTTTTGTGATTCATTGATTAGTGTGGGAATAGTATAATGACTATATATCATGACTAATGTGGATTAATATGAATCAGACTATATAAATGACTATATTATGACATATCATGACTATATCATGACTGGGGATTAATCCTTGATTAATGACTATCAAACACTATAGTTAATGACTATCAATAAGGATATAATGACTATACAATGACTATAATGACTATGGGAAATATAATGACAGTAAAGATTCATTGATTAGTGTGGGAATTTCATGGGATTTAATACCATGGGCTGTATGGGCTGGAAATTGGATGATCACCTGATCGTTTTTTCCATGATTTCATGGGAAAATATATGAATATATCATGACAGCCATCATGGGTCTGATGAAGCCCCAAATCTGATGCTATCTGAGAATGGTAGAAGAATGACTGGCCGATTTTTGGGTGCATTAAGTGCACTATTTTCGGACAACCCCCTCCCTTGGCCAGCTCAGGGGAGCTCGGCACCCTTTAAAATACCCGTAAAACTTGGACGACGTTTGGTTTTTGTTGGGGGAGATATATGACGAACTAGTGAATTAGGGGGTAACAGAAAGCAACAGACATCACTGGCCTCAGCTCATAGCAGATAGCTAAGTTGGCGTATAAAAAGGGGTTTTCAATGGTTTTTTGCAAACTAGCTAATCGAGGCTATAGCCTTCCTGTATGCTTAGAACAATTTATATGAATTATATGATCACACACATATATATATATATATAACCACAACGATGTTCACATGAGTGTTATATGAGTTCTTCATATGTACAAACTATAAATCATATCTAACCAACATTAAACTGTATATCTATGTAATAGATCACGATATACATCCATAGACAGCTCTTAATCATATTCATGACCATCTATTCATTCCAGGGCATTGGCTGAGATATGGCCAGCGGTGAACGAACGCACCCCGACAAACATACCTCGATGTCCACCATCCGGGCGTCTGAAAAACATCGTGGGAAACCCAATGCCATAGTCACCAATGCCATAGTCACCATCAACAATAGATATGGGATCATTACCCTCTGGTAAACTAACATAACTATGGAAAATCACAATCTTTAATGGAAAAATCAACTATAAATGGCCATTTTCAATAGCTATTTTGACATAACCAGAGGGTAATGAATCATAAAAATCATCCAATAATGTGGTAAAGCCAGACTTCACCATCCCCAAGTGAAGACCATGAAAATTTGGGTGAGATTTCAACCATCGCCAGTCATGATAGATCTATGACATTGGGTTTCCCACATGAATCCCCAAATATCTGAGCCATTTAGGGGTGATTCCACTACCCATAAAGATTTATCAGATCTGGTAACTGACAATCCGTATGATGTTCGTATGGGTTTAGCGGTTGCTCCTCTTCAAAGGCGAATGCAAATCCCATTCGTTGCCACTAAAGAAAAGTGACAAACCATTCTTGAATTCTCAATGAAAACAAATCCACAAACCCTTACATAGCCCTGAAACATAGCCCTGAAACATAGGCCTTATATATGGTAGGTACCTCCAATAAATCAGTTCCTGTTGCATGGCCATTGATCATATCCAAGATATTCCCATGTGAAATATCCCCCAATCGAAACCATATAAAAACACATCCAACTATCATCCAACTATCAAGTGGTTGTATTAATCAAAAGTAGTTTGGTATACTATAAAACTAACCAACTATAGTTAATCCCAAGTGGTTTTTTTTCATCAAAAACCAATGGCCACCATCGTTCTAATCGTTCGTGTGAAAATGGGAAAAAAAAAACGAATCCACTGGTTCATTTTGTCATTTTCCCACCATAAGAATTGCCGTTTGGAGGCCAAAACAGAAAATCAAACACATCCAACTATCATATGAAGTTGGTTAGTTTTATAATATACCAATTATAACTGATATCCCATGAAACTTGGTTGATTCAATCCCATTAGACTCCGCTTAACTCCCATCAAACTTGGTTAAACCCCCATTGGTTGCTTAACCATAGTTAGTTCACCAACAAAACTAAATGGAATAACCCACTGAATGGGGAATATTATATGGGGGTGTCCTAAAAAAATGGTACCCCAAGTCACCATAGGTTTCAAATACTAATACTAAGTCATCTGGTTGGTGGTTTCAACCCCTCTGAAGAATATTAGTCAGCTGGGATTATTATTCCCAATGGAAAATTTTAAAATGTTCCAAACAACCAACCAGTCATGATAGTCATGGTCATCCATGACTTGGATGATTTAAGGGACACCCCCATTTTCAGACACACCTCTGGTGACCTCTTGGGAGGTCAGGACCTCGTCACTGAGCCTCCAGACGCAGGACGGCGGCTCTGCTGGCTGCTCGGCACCTCCGGTTGCTGGTGAAGGAGCAAAAATAGGGATTTAACTTAACCATCATTTATAGGGATTATAACTTATCATGGTTTTTTTTGACACATGATCGTTGATGATGATTTAGTTTGATTCAACCATCATTTTTTAGATATTCGTAGTGGTTTTGAACATCAACCTATGGGCATAAAGTTGATAAATGATGTTCAAAGGAAAAGTGCGGATGCCTTACAAGTGAAATTTTGATTTGACCCTTTTTTCCCCGCAAACATGGAAACAAATATGGGATATACGTAGCTAGGAGGATGTTGGCAACAGATATCTTACTTCGGAAAGCTGTGAGATTTGAGGTTAACGATGGTTTCCTACAGTTCAATACCAGTGGTTCCTTTCTGGTTGGTGGTGCAATGACCATCTTGAGAAATATGAGTTCGTCAATGGGAAGGATGACATCCCATATATAAAAATAAATTTCATGTTCCAAACCACCAACCAGGTATAACCCACAATAGATTTAATAACAGAATCAATGACATCCCATATATGAAATGGAAAATAAAAAATCTTTGAAACCACCAACCAGCTTTAAATCAGTCCATTGAACCTGGCAAAATGGGACCTGGGAAATCTGCGCATCTGCATCCTGCTATTCACGGAGCCAAAATTCCTCCATGATTTCAATATAGCCAGGAGCCCTGCCAATTAGAACTGGCACCCTGCCGATTCAGTTTGTGACTGGTGTTTCTTCAAGCAAAAAACAAAGCGGTGTTACATTTTAAGTTCGTGAGAAAAAACATCATGAAACCAAGCAGAGTAGGTCATATGTAGCATTCCCAATCTTGGATTCCCTTCAAAATTCCCCTTGCTGGTGACGGTCAATATCTCCCCATTTAAGCATCAAATGAAAAATCTTAGTATCAAACTATATCAAACTAAAAATCCAGTTGGTTTTCCCTATCAGTAAAGCAATACGTTTTCCCCTGAAAAATTGGGATGGTCAATCCCCAGGGCTCAAATCAGCTCAGCACCGTGACTTTTTTGCAACGCTGTTTTAAAACGTAGGAGTTTCCGGTATTCCATGAAACAGAATTTGATGTGAGAAGCCTCCAGTAATCTGGTTTCATGAAAAAATCCAATGTTTGATAATCTCTAATCTGAAAACAGATCATCTATCCTGATTTCTCATAGGATCTATTGCCAGAGTGTATACACCCCTCAACTAAAACTTCAACAAAGACAAGATGGAAATGATTGCAGTATCAATGAAATGGCCCCCCATGCAAGTCACTTCGGCCCCTGCAACCCAGTTCGAACTGAAAAAAACTGAGTAGCGGAACTCAGAGAATTGTCACCGGGCAGTGAGAAAACCATGTAATTTTGGGTGGTTTGTTGGTCCAAGGTGTACCCTTCAGTACTTTGTTGGTCCGTTAGCTTTGGAAAATGGTCCCTTTATGGATGATTTAGCTATAGATTTACCAAAAAAAAAACATGGCGGATTTGAACTATAGCGATGTTAAACAAGCAAACCAGCTCGGGTACTGAGTACGAGGGTGTCTCAAAAGGGGGATCCCTAAAAGTTTTTTTACAATAACCATCTTGAAAAATATGAAAGTCAGTTGGGATGATTATTCCCAAGATATGGAGTCTGGTTGGTGGTATACCTACCCCTCTGAAAAATGATGGAGTGAAAGTCAGTTGGGAGTATGAAATTCCCAAATGGAAAGTCATAAAGTTCCAAACCACCAACCAGTGTTTGTTGGTTTATAAACCATTATAATCCCCATTAACTAGTTCGTGAAATATCTACCATAAACCATGGTTAATCCACATTTCCAAACCATAGGTATATAGGTTTCAACACTCACATGGTCCACTGGATGATGGCCCACTTCGGTATCCCGGTCCCAGGGGCCCCAGGTGCATCTCACGATACTTGGTGGTTCAAAATGGATTCCTTATCTGGTTGGTGGTTGACCTACCCCTCTGAAAAATATGAAAGTCAGTTTCCCCAATATATGGAAAAATAAAAAATGTTCCAAACCACCAACCAGTTATGGGTTACCCTCTGGTAAACATACAAAAAGCTATTGAAAATGGCCCAGTCGAAATAGTTGATTTTCCCGTTGAAAATGGTGATTTTCCATAGTTATGTGACAGTTTACCAGAGGGTATCATAATCCCGAAGAATTAGGTAAGTCCTGATTATCAGCTACACCATAAGTTGGGATAGCAATACCCATCAAACAGCCATGAAATACCCATCAAAATAAATAATGTGGATACTTACAATGACAAGAATATCCATTAAGCCAGTGTAAATGCACAATATATCAACACTATATGATTGGTGGTTTAGGATTGGCATAAAATCACCCAACAAGCACCCGAAATATTCAAATGTTGGTAGAACATTCTATATATATATATAATAATGATGATAATAATAATAATAATAAAATTGTTCACCGGCACTGCTATAACTATAACATATATCATGAATACGCTAAACCTATACTATATACCATTGCATCCCTGAACCACCATAATAACTACCACCAAAAACGGCCCAATGCGGCCGTTTCTGTTGTCGCGGCACCTGCAGCGTCAGTTTCCCCGGTCGCAGCCAAAAGTCCGGACTCCTCATGCCCAAATGGAGCCAGCGAATCATCTTACAGCATGCATCACGTGATACTTTGTAACAGCAACAACAACAACAACCAACAACAACCAACAACAACCACGACAACAACGACCGACCAACCAACCAACCAACCAACCAACCAACCAACCAACCAACCAAGCAAGCAAGCAAGCAAGCAAGCAAGCGAGCCAGCCAGCAGCGAGCCAGCCAGCCAGCCAACCAGCCAACCAGCCAACCAGCCAACCAGCCAACCAACCAACCAACCAACCACAACCACAACCACAACAACAACAACAACAACAGCAACAGCAACAGCAACAACAACAGCAACAGCAACAGCAACAACAACAGCAACAACGTCTTTCTAGCTGTCGATCCAATTGTCCCATCAAAATGACTTCATGTCCAAAAAATAACTCGCCAAAGATCCATAAAACCGTGGTTTCAGAAAATTGCTATTCAGTTGGTGTAGTGAGGGTTTAATATCTACCTAATTTTGTCTAAGAACATTACCCTCTGGTAAATTGTCACATAACTTATGGAAAATCACAATTGTTAATGGGTAAAAATCAACTATATCAACTGGGCCATGGCTTCAATAGCTTTTTGTATGTTTGCCAGAGGGTAACCCGTTATAATCCCCATTAACTATAGTTATATCTACCATAAACCACAATTAAACCACCTACCCTCTGGTAAACTAACAGTTCGCTATGGAAAATCCACCCATTTTATAGCTGGGAAAATCCACTATTTCAATGGCCATTTTCAATAGCTATGTTAAATTACCAGAGGGTAAGTGCCATTAAATCCCATTAAATCCCATTAAACCACCATTTTCCTATGGTTTTCCTATGTTAAATTACCAGAGGGTATAAATGGTTGTGAAAATCAATTCGTAGCTGGAGCCAGACATAGCTCACATAGCTCACATAGGGGGGGATTTCCCAGCCATGTTTGAGGACGGTAGAACATGCTATTGGTTGTATATCCCATTATATGTATTAGTGTATGTATATATATATGTATATATATATATATCCATTGTATTCCCATTCCTCCCACCATATCCCATTATTTATATATATATATTTATAGATATATAGATATACTCTCCCATAAAGCCACAAATTATTCCCATAATTGGTATACCCAGGACGACGCACAATCGCGAGTCCTGCTGCAGAATTGCCGCCGGCGATCCTGCCGGTGCAGCCTCTGCCGTGGCCGGCGCTGCGTCGGCATCGCCGTCTGCGCACGGCTTCCGAAGGCAGGCGGAAAGGGGAAGCAATGGAAAAAAAAAACAGCAACAAATCAAGGCTCAAGTTCTTCTGAATGACTCACAAACTTTTTTTCGCTTAAATTCAGAGGATTGAACCAGTATGAGTAGGTTTTTTAAACCCCTCTTCGAAGATAAGAATTTGTTCATGCTCACCCTTAGAATTGGATGGTTGTTTTGGTACCATGAATCACACTTAAATGTCCAGGGGATCCTCCACTTGACATTCGGGACAATTTTTCTTGGCCTTCGTTGTCCTCAAACATGGAAAAATATGGGAAAATCATGAAAAATCCCCAGTTCGATGATATTCCCAGCGACTTCAATTTATAGAGGATTTTCATGGATTTTCCATTACTCCGTTTGATTACCAGAGGGGGAAGCCCATTGGCAAGTTTCTTTAACCATTCATGACTGGATTCTAGTTTCTGTGATTTAATTGCAACCTTCCACCCCATATCCACCCATATCCCCGATCTTCTCTGGTTGGTGGTATACCTACCCCTCTGAAAAATATGAGAGTCAGTTGGGATGATGACATTCCCATTGGAAAGTGAAAAAAAATATGGTTCCAAACCACCAACCAGATCGAATCATCATCATATTCCCATTGTTGTTGGTTTATACCCTATTATGTAACCACTATTAATATCACTATGTTCCAGTCACCACCAACTAGTGTTTGTTGGTTTATAAACCATTATAATCCCCATATACCAACCAGTTCTCTTGAAAGAACCTCGAAGCAACATCACCTTAAAAGGGGGTCACAACCGGCCGGCGCCTTCGTCGATGAATTCCAGGCGCGCATAGTCTGCAGGGTCTAAGACCACCTCCAACCACGGATAAGCGCATCGCTGGGGATGATTTATGAGGGTGGTGAACTATTGTTTATTGTTATTTAACAATTCTAGTGAATAGATATATAGTTATATATATATATTATGGATAGTTAATGAATGCTAACTTATTCTTTACCCTCTGTTCATTTTGCATAGCCATGGACGCCATGGCCTATTTACAGCTGATTTATCATGATTTACCGAACTTAAACATTGTGATTTTTGCTACGTCAAATAACCAGAGGGTATGATAGTTATTTAACAATTATAGCTATATAATAGATATTATAGGTAGTTCATGAGAAACCATATTATCAATGAATACCTACTATAGTTACATATAGTCATTGTAGTCATTATACCACTACAATCATTATTATAGAATAGTGATTGTAGTTGTTGTGGTTAGTATAGTCATTATAGTCATCATAGTCACTATAGTCACTATAGTCACTATAGTCACTATAGTCACTATAGTCAAGACTTTTATTTCAGTTATTGGTGTTATTATTACTATAGTTGTTGTAGATATTATAGTTGTGATAGTTATTACAGTCATTATACCATTACAGTCAAATTGAATCAATACAAGGTGAAGCCGAATGCCGAATGCCCATTATAGTAGTTATTATTATTTATTATTTTATCTATTCGATGGTATACCACTACTGTATCATTATACTATAATTACGAAAGATGGTGAGGCCCCCGAAAAAATGTACTACTATAGTAGTTAACTATTAATTATACTATAGTAATTATGACATTTATGAGGCCTCACCAATTATAATCATACTATAGTAGTTAACTATTGTCATCAATCAAAAAAATGGTGAGGCCCCCAAACAATCACTATATAAGTTGAGGCACAGAACTAACGGTTTTCGCGTTTAGGTTGCCATGGAGAATATACCTAAAGGATAGTCTCATTATCAATCAATAGTGGATTCACAAGCTGCGGAATCCAAAACCAATAAACGCTATAGTTCGATAGTCGTTTCATCGAACTAAATCTTACTGGTGCTAAACGTAGGGAATGGACAGGAATGGGGGTTGCTGGGATGATTATGACTAGTGATGAAATGGATCATTCCCGAAAATTCCCTGCGTAAAACGCACCAGTAAGTCAATATTTCCTCAAACCAAATCCATGGAACCAGATGATGATCTATGTACCCTCTGGATCCCTCTGGTAATTTGTTACAGTTGGCTATGGAAAATAGCCATTTTATAGTTGATTTACCTATCAAAACTGGTGATTTACCCATAGCTATTTTAAAATCACCATGAAAATCACCATGAAAATCACCACTGATCATCATTAACCACCATTAACCACCATTAACCACCATTAACCACCAATGATCGCTGGTGACCCTCTAACAGGTTGCCATGGGAGCCATGGGGAAAATTGCTAGTTTTATCGATACAAGGTTGCCATGGCCCCTGTTTTCAACAGCTAAGTTGACGCACATAACATGGCTACCCTCTGGTAAACTAACATAACTATGGAAAATCACCATTTTTAATGGAAAAACTCACGATAAATCACCATTTTTAATAGCTATGTTAAATTACCAGAGGCTAACGCTTGGGTTTTGGGGGAATATACCTATAAAAATTAAATTATCAATCAATAGTGTTTTCACCACCTGATGATCAATACCTACTAGAATAGTGGATTCAATACCTATTATCTTACTATCAAGAATAACTCCCTGATAACTACATTATTGTCTTATCAATACCTACTACTAGTGGTTTCAATCCTACGATGATAGTGGTTGGTTGACCGCCTGGTTAATTATGTAGTGGTTAAGCACTTCATTCTTCGCAATCTTACTATAATGATAGTTGTTAACTAGAATTGTCAATACCTTTCTTTGTCAATAATAGTAGATATACCTGATATAACTGATATAACACTCATTTTATACTATTGATCTATGTAGTGCTTGATGACAATGCTTAGTAGTGCTCAAAAAAAGTGCTTAGTAGTGAATCAAAAAAAAGATAGCCACTGCTGTTGCTGAATCAATGGTGGCAACTCTTCCGTTCCTACATCAGAAATTGGGACTTTGGGATGATCGTAGTCATCTTCAGCTTGCCAGTTTCGGCGGTGGCTGAAGCCTTCATTGAAATCACATCTGGGTAAATTATAATATTTCACTAACCTGAATTAAGGCCATAAAAGGGGATGATGTTCCTTACTAACCATGATTCCAGGGCTCGGTCGCAGTGAGGTCGTTATAATTTACCCAGATCACATGAAATCACCACTTGATGTACGGAGATCATAAGTTCCAGTGGTCCAGCCCCAATCTTTCGCTGGGAAAACTTTTTTTGAGGACGTACAGGATGGGGCCCCCAAACGTGATGTGAACGTTGGTTGAGAAAAACCATGAATTAATCCCCATTAACTATAGTTATATTTACCATAAACCATAGTTAAACCACTTATAAACCAACTGAACGCTATCGACTGGGGGCCCCATCTTGTAGATTTATAGCTGGCTTGGAAGTCTCTGCGGTAAAGTCATCTGCAAATTTGTAGGGTCAAAACCTGACTGCCCTGCAGGAAGGTTCTACGTTGGGATCCTAAGGTCCTAATGTATTCATTGGACTGGTGAAACAGGGAGAAACTATAGGAAACCCTCATCTGGTTGGTGGTTTCAACCCCTCTGAAAAATATTAGTCAGTTGGGATTATTATTCCCAATATATGGAAAATAAAAAATGTTCCAAACCACCAAACAGTCATCTATTGGATGGGTAGATGTTCCTTTAACTCATCTTGATGATCTATCCAATTTTCAGGGATGATTCACATGCGTTTGTGCAAGGTTTGCGGGCACCCCATCTTACCTAATGACCTAATGGCTTCAACCCTCACATTTTCCCGTGACAATTGGCTTTTTTGTGGTGAAAACGTAGATTGAAAAGTTGGAAACCTGAAAATCATCATCATCATCAGATGGTTTACCCTCTGGTAAACATACAAAAAACTATGGGAAATCCCCATTTTATAGCTGGGTAAATCAACTACAGTATTTCTATGGCCATTTTCAATGGCCATCATTCTTCTCATCATCATCCTCCACCTTGTCAAACAAAAGATGATCTAATTCACATCCTGCTGGATTTTTGGGGGCATCTTGTTGGGGGAACCCACCGACTGTCATCAACTATATATCCATCATATTGTATATATCTCATGATATTCCCATGACATATCCCATGCGACCCCACTCTATATATATATATATATCCATGGTAGTCTCATTATTGTTGGTGTTATATATATATACACACACATGACCCCACTATATTTGACATGAATACCAACCACCCCCGAAAAGAAAAGTGAAAGTGAAGCGGCAGCTATGTGCGCGAGTTTGCGGAGGATCCAACTACAATGAGTAACCCCTCCGGAGGAATGTTACGAAGAATGAAAGGCAGAGGACGTGACTATCCCTCAACTTTCAACTATTAATGACTATTATTAACCATCAATAACTATTGATTCAAGCGTTATAATTGTTATATTCATTGGATTGGTTAAGGGAAAATCTTAACCGGAAACCTTGCTTTTTACCATTAAATATGGTGGTTTCTTGTAAATTTTCCCGTAAACCAATCCAATGTTGACCACTAATAGTTGAAAGTTCACCATTAATGATAACCATTAGCTATTATTAACCACTAATGGCACTATAATAGTTATATCCAAAAAAAAAAAACATGACCCAGGCGCCGCAAAACCCAGTCAGTTGGTCGGCTGCCGGCACCGTGAAGTTCCCAAGATCGATCTCCAGCCGTGGCAGTTCTGCAGAGCCGCAAGCACCTGGACCAGAACGCAGGGTTTGATCTGCTTTGAAGTGGTGAAAAAGGATGGCTGGTTGGTGGTTGAGCCACCAACCCCTCTGAAAAATGATGGACTTTGTCAGTTGGGATGATTATTCCCAGTACATGGAAAGTCATAAAATTCATGTTCCAAACCACCAACCAGATGGTGAAAAACCATCAAAAATGCTGAAGCAAGCTGGGATTTAACATGGAGGATCACCCCACGATCATCGTGGTCAGCAACTGGGCTTAGTTTCCACAGTTGCTAAATGGGAAAATGCAAGATGCCGCAGGAATCGGGGACTTGTGATCACCAGGGCGTTACCAGTTATGATTCGCAGGATGGTGCTCCAAGTTACCCCAACTTAGGGTCTCATTTGGCGAAATTCCAGATAAATATGCACACCCTATTGATTGACAGGACCTGAATCTTGTGCAAAAAATGGGATTGGGTGCAGTTTTCAATCTTGGAGCGGGAAACCATCAGTTTGAAGCGTGAAGGAAACAAAGCAAAACAAGTCGCATGGCCGACCTGACACACAAAAAATCTTGCAAATTCTAGCTGGATTGTAGCGCAAACATCATACACTTTCGCCTACTTCACCCATTGCCTTACCCAGACTTTCATCATCTGTGCTAACTCCAAAGTATAATTTCAAAGGAGGTTTGAGCAGCATCTACAAGAAAAACATGTTCTACAGCACTTGGGGGATCACCCAAGTTATAGCATGTTATAGCATCGCAAGTGACTAGTACTACTAGCTGTTTGTTTCCCAAGTTGTTTCAATGAGGCAGGAATTGGTGAGTTATGATCACCCGGGTTATTAACCATTTACTGATTGATCACGATTTTGTGGGTCCTATTCTCACCTTTGACCTTTGGTTGGTTAAAAACAATTTCCCCATTTCTTCTGATAAAATCACCATGAAATAACTACCACCATCATCAACCAACCATGATTTACATTCATATTACAGCAAAATCAACTGAAAAAACGCATGCATTTCTGCCGCAGGCTTAAAACATATAGAAATATGTCACGCGCTTCTGAAATCCACATATATCGATGCCGGTGAAATCCCCATGAAATCTGGCTGCAAATTCACCCAGTGACGGTGGAATTGGTCACCTCTAAAACGGGAGTGAAATTTTCTGGAGCGATTCACCCCGGAACGCCATGGAAATTAAGAGTGAAATCCCATGGAAAATGACATTTTGAAGATTGTTAAATCAGTTCAATCTTCCAGTTTTCCGAGATTTTGGAGTCATTGCTGGCAGAAATTCGAAGATGAAATCTGAGCGTTTTTTTGTCCTTTTTTTCAACCAACTGTGGACCAGCGGTTTACTAAGCAATCACAAAGTTCAGGGAACGGCCCGCTGTAAACATTGTTACAGTGGACCTCTGTTTTCTTCAGCAAGTTGCAGCCCGCAACTTAACTGCAGACTGCAGACATACTCGCTCACGGGAGATCCGCATATAGTCACCATCTCCAGATCGCTTTTTTCTCGAACTGCTATGAACTCACTGGATATACCCAGTTCTGATTTATCGGATTTTTCTGCAAACCATGGAGTTCGGCCCCATTGACAATACCATCTGGTTATGACTAACAGTTCGCCATGGAAAGATCCACTATGCTATTAAGTTCGGTAAACCATCTATTTCTATGGGCATGGCTTAACCATGGCGAACTGTTAGTCATAACCAGAGGGTAGTCACTCTATCAACCATTGATAGTCATTATTAATAGCCATGATCAACCATTAATAGTCATTGTTAATAGCCAAAAACCAGTGATTTAACTCATACCCTCTGGTAATTTAACGTAGCTATTGAAAATGGCCATTTATAGTTGATTTACCCATTAAAGATGGTAATTTTCCATAGCTATGTTAGTTTACCAGAGGGTAATAATTGACAATAATAAACACTGCTTTTTCCATGGTGGATCCCACCGGTCACAAAAAAATCCGCGAAAAGACCCAACTGGCATCCGTCAAGCCCTCGGCCCGCAAGCAACCTGTGTGCTGGTGAGAAAAAGAGGATGTGGAAACTTAACTGGGAAAGCATTGGTTTTTTTCCAATCTGTGTATCCACATACTTGAGGAAATTGTCAGGAAAGCTGTATGCTATATTGATTTATATTGTTTTTTGGTTGGTAAAATCCATGTTTCCTTGTCTGTTTTCCTCTTCAATCCATTGACAGACGGTACTTACTTGGATGTGCATCCCAGTTCGTAAGCGGGCAAGAGGCGTATCAGAATCTAATTAGATTCAAGGCATGTACCGGATACCCGGTTATTAGCCTAGGTTATGTTCACCACATACTACTTGAGAATTGACCCCCGAGTCAAAGGTGTCGAGGTGTCCGTACTGAGTCCATACTTCGAAGTGTCATGCCTCGACGGGGGTACCAACGGACTAGCAAAGATCATCGAGTTTAGGGTCAAACATACAAGGTGATGCCCCCCGGGTTGTGTTTGTCGGTTTATAAGCTCCATCAACGATAGATATATGCACCAGAATCCTACTTATCTAGTTATAAAATGTTATCAACCAACTTGGCAAACTATGCGGCAGTACCTTGTGCCGCATGGACATAGTCCCCATCTTGATATGTCCCACGATGGTTCTGGCAATCTCCAGTAGCCCATGGACGTTTCGGAAAAAAATAGACAAGGGAGAAAGTAATTGTTGCAATCCTGCAAGAGTGTAAATAGTATAGCTTCCAATATACCTATAATATATATATACAGTGTGTATGTATATATATATATATACACCATCTGGTAATTCAACATAGCAAAGCTCTGCGATTTTTCTCGCTGATGCAAGGCATCAATGTGGCTTTGCTGGATATTTTTCACATCTCTGAGCCTTGAAAATGGCAATTTACAGTTGATTTACCTATTAAAATGGTGAGTTTTCCATAGCTTATGTTGGTTTACCAGAGGGCAAACCAACATCCCAAGAGCCCCTAGGACTTCCATCGATGCATTTCCCCTTAAACTTCCCCACCTGCGATCTGCTAGGATCCTTCTCCTTGAGCAACCTGAGTTTCTGCTGGAATTTGTTGGGAACCCAGCAAGGGTGATGCGCAACCGGTTTTTAATGAAGAGAACTGGAGCTGATTTCCAATGGGAAATCATGGAAATGTCGATACTTTTTAGCTGATTTCCATGGGAACCCACCTTGGAAAAACCTATCGTTATCCCCATGATATCTCCATCTGTTATTCTACCACCATTTTTCTTGGAAAAAATCACCATCGTTTGTGAGTTAAATCATGTCTAAAGCCTGTTTGTTTTCATGGTTAAATCCCGTTTGTTGATGTTTAAATCTATATTCCCACTATATTCACGTGAATATCCGATGATATGCCTATCATACCACAATTTGTTGTGTTAAATCACACCAGCCCCAGACCATGGAACTCATCGTGTCATCTCTAGGACGTTCGCGGCCATGCCCAGCCATGCCCAGCCGCAGCTATTCTATCTGCCTTGGATCTTGTGTCAGGCTGCACAAAAACAACGGTGAACGGTGGATGGGCCATGTCTGGTGGATTTTGGATTTTATATGTGTATATATGTATATACACATGTTTTTCTCACATGTCAATGTAATCAGAATCACGTCAAACTCTGGTGGAAATCGGTTGTAGAAAAAATGGCGGGTGATCCATTGCAAGGTTAGAGGTTAGACAGGATTGGTTCCCTGAACAATTCCATAGTTGAACAGTCAAAACGCGGTGTTTCTCAGCATGCAAGAATACCAGCATGCAAAAAAAACAAAAACAATTCTGTCAGGCAGATGATTTCGCCAAATGATGTCCAATCCATGGATAAAACAGCACTCTTCCCCCCCAAATGAGCCATCAAAAATACCCCGTTTTCCCATCTCATGAAATGGTAGTTTGTTGATAGGTTTCCCTACCGTGGGTTATAATAATCCTCAATAACCCAGGTAGTGTATGTATATATATACCCTCTGGTAAACTAACATAACTATGGAAAATCACCATTTTCAATGGGTAAATCAACTATAAATGGCCATTTTCAATAGCTATGTTAGTTTACCAGAGGGTGTACATATATATATATACATATATTTATAATTTCCTATAATAACCAACCAACCAACCAACCAACCAACTAATTAATCAACCAACCAACCAACCAACCAACCAACCAGGGTATTTTCAATAGCTCAAATCATCTGCCCAAATCCCTTATTGAAGCCTTGTCGGATTAGAACTGAGTGTGGGTCAAAACCCTCGAAACCATGCGGTTTCGAACATCCAAAAAAATGGAAAAAAACCGCCTGTTGTCATCAAACGTTGCAATTGACAAATCCTAGGTAAATTTTATAATGGGAAAAATCATCTATATCCTAGTTGAATATATCTTGTTTTAATGGGAAAATCATCGAACTAAATGGTGGATCTTCCAGCAAGCCACCTTTGACTGATGTTCACAGATCGATATTGATGTTTTATGTGGAACTGCACCCCCCAATAGTACCCCTCAGAGACATGAATTGATATATATATATATACATATATATATACTGGTTGGTGGTTTTAACCATCTTGAAAAATGATGGAGTTCGTCAATGGGATTATCCCATATATGAAATGGAAAATAAAATTCATGTTCCAAACCACCAGTATATATTAAATCGAATCACCACTCCCTTGCCCTTTTTTTAAAGAAGACGAAAAGATTGTTTAGTAAATCAGTTCTTGGGGCCCGGCCCTTCGGGCCTTTGATGTTGGCTTTAAATCATGGTAGATCATGATCTTGCGGCAAAGTGTTTAAGGAACGATCCAATAAATAATTACGTCACATAACCATTTGGTGGTTTTGAATAAAGGGTACACCAATAGTAAACCTACATTGTGGATGGAGTCTGTCACATTCTTTCAGCAATTGGAGCAAGACCATATCGTTGGCAATATATCTCACGAAATTTCCCATTGATTTATTCCTTCTTATATCCTATATCCCCATTGATATCCCAACTCTCCAATCATTTTTGGTTAAATCATGTTACCCTCTGGTAATTTAACATAGCTATTGAAAATCACCATTTTTAATGGGAAAATCCACTATAAATCACCATTTTCAATAGCTACGTTAAATTACCAGAGGGTAAATCCAATCTTTTTTCTTAGCTATCGGAGCCCCCAGAAGATAGAAAAAGTTGGGAACCTGGAAATATATGTGTTTCAAATATTCAATCATTGGATTGGTTTAAGGGAAAATTTTAACCGGAAACCATGGTTTTTACCATCAAATATAGGGCTTAAACCTGTAAATTTTCCCATAATCCAATTCTATGATTCAATATCCTTGTCATATGAAAAAATATGAGACATTGAAAACTGCGTTTTTTCTGCACCCCCCAATAGTACCCCGATGAGAAAAAGATGTGTCAAACATCTCCGAGCTTCCACCTTGCTCGCTCTCTGTCGCTTGCCATTGCCGGAGACCCGCCAGAAATTCCTGGCACATAAACTGACCGCGAAGCATGTTTCTCGGGGAGTGCAAAAACCTATGAAATGTGGTTTTGACCTACATTTTTTAGAGTTTTGACATGCACCAAAAATATCCCAAAATTCTTTTCGACGTACAAAAACGTACTGTTGACCTGCAAAAGTGTGGTTGTTGACCTACAAAAAAATGAAACAACAAAAGAAATGAAAATTACAGTAGGTTTCGGCCTCAAACAATTGGGTGCTGGCTCACAGAAAATGGGCTTCGGTCTCAAAAAAAAAGGTTTTAATCTACAAAAGATGGAAAAAGAACATGCAAATAAGGTTTGGACCTACAAATTATGTTTGACCTACAAAAATTCAAAAACGTGACAAGTTTGTCTTGTAATGCAATGTTGTTGTTTATGCTTACCTTTTTTTCACTATGTTTGCATACATGTGTATATCTATATCTATATCTATATATCTATATATATACACACCGCCAGTGTGTGTATATATATATATTTATATCCATATCATTCGATTCTTAACTTATGTTTCTGATGTATTTTTTCAGTTTTACCTGATATATATCTACGTTTTATATAATTATGCTCAATATAAATCCAAACTGATGATGGTAAAAACGACAACCGCGGTTTCACGCAAGAATTGGGTCTCATAGTCATTGCCAATCTTAGATACCCAGCAAAAAATGACAAATTGTTAGTTGGTAGATATTCCTATTGAAATCGCAAAAGATTAAGTAATTTTGGTTGAAACAATCCACATTGGCTGCCTTTGCCAGTGGATTACAAAAGGGGCACTTGCACGGTGCCCCATCAGCTAAGCGGATTTTTAATTCCAATAACAAGAGTTTATTAAAAGTAGATATATCTATATATACTAAACGATGGTTATGACCTTATAAACAGCTATAAACCAAGAAACATAACTGGATGGCCTACCATTTCGAAATGGATCACATCCCCCCTTTCAATCGCCGCGGCTTTCGCCTGTTGGGTGATGGTTTCCGTCTTGTCCTCGTCCCATTCGCGGATCAGGAATTCCAGGTCTGCGTCCTCGAAGTTCGGCAGCGGCAGCCGTGGACTCCAAAAATGTCAAAGCGTGACTGGTTGGCGGTATACCTACCCCTCTGAAAAATATGAGTTCGTCAGTTGGGATGATGAAATTCCCGACTGAATGGAAAAATAAAATTCATGTTCCAAACCACCAACCAGTTGATGAATGTGGGATTCAACAGATGATTCAACCAAAAAATAGATGAAACATTTGCTCGTTTTGACCTCAACCAAGCATTTTGGGGGACATCTTGACTAGCCAAATGGAGCCGTGAAAAATCGATCAACTGTTCCAGGCAGGAAACAGCGACGAAGTAGCCACGTGTGAGGACACCAAAGGGTAGGACATACTAATTATATCTAATTGTTGCTTGTCCCATTGTATATGCCATGAGTATATCATGATATGCATAATATTACTACCATCTGGTTATTTAACATAGCCATGGCAAATCACCATGCTATTAAGTTCGGTAAACCATATATGTATATATACATATACATATATATATATATATGGGCCATCTATACCATGGCTATGTTAAATAACCAGAGGGTAAACACTATTATTCTGATTGGCAGATGGTTTTAAATACCATAATTACATGGATCCTATGGGTAATACTACTAATACTATCTATGATTACTAATATTCATGTTGTATATCCATTATTTCCCACAAGATTCCCATTGTGATTATGTTTTTTTTGCCCATGATATCCCACCGTAAAAAATCACAGACTAATGTGAAAAATATGGATATCAATTGTGAGATACCCTCTGGTAAACATACAAAAAGCTATGGAAAATGACCATAGAAATAGTGGATTTACCCAGCTATGAAATGGTGATTTTCTATAGTTATATATGTTAAACTACCAGAGGGCATCCCCATAGATGTCCCACTACCCAACTCCAACCACTAACTGTCACTCCCCATATCGATGTGAGCAGTGTTCAAAACCCCTCTATCATTCCATTTAATCCTGGTTGGTTAAGAACGGGATTCCCCGTTCTTGGATTATTATAATCCCCAATATATGAAGGGTAGTATACTCCCCGAACTAATCATCAACCAACAGGGTTTTTGAACGTAAAAAAAACAACTAAATCCCAATATATCACCATAAAATTCCATAAAATCACTAATATCCCCATATTTTCATGGTTAAAATCCCATTTAAACTACTATAATCATCAACCCTGCCAGGGGTTTAGCAGCCACTGCTCATGTGGTCCAACGTCCCAACGTCCAAGCTGCAGTGATCTCCAGTTGTCGCGTGGCGCAAAGGAAGCGCAACAGCTCGGGCATCTCCTGCCCAAGCTGGCGCCCAAGTCGGCCCAGCGTGGCGCTGAGGCTTTCAGTGGAACTCAGGTGGCTTTACGGATCTATAATATGTGTATATGCATATATATATATATATGTGTGTGTGTATGAGTACATATATATATATGTGTGTGTGTATCTGTGTATACATATATATATATATATAATGGATATATAATGGATATATAATGGGATATACACACACACAACATATAACAGATATAATGGGATATGTCACTTTTGGTTGACATTCCAACAGGAACTGCTCCTTCGAAAAAAAAAAAAAAAACACAGCTTATGACATGTTATGCGGATCCACGGATTGACGGTCGACGGTCAAAACGCTGGTCTCTACCGGAGATGCAACGAAAAAGAAGCCCAAGTTATAGATAGAATAGCTGGTAAACTACCATAGTTATAGATAGTTATAGATAGTTCAGATTGTAAATGTATCACTAAAATTGATACTAGAGCTTTTGACCCAGCCCCATATGTAACAATGTAACTCTCTTTTAAAGGTTTACAGATCGATGTGGAATTGCGCCACCATGAATGTAGATCATTCGACGGGAAACCAGCCAGGTTTTCTACATCTGTGATATCTGTGGTAGTTTTACCCTAGGGTTTTTCACTGTGTAATGACCACTTCATATGGAAGTTTCCATCCAGTCATGGGGTACCCCTAGTTATTTGATCATCCAAGTCATTGGACCATGACTTCGTGACTTCGCATTGAAAGCCATGGGATGACGTGGGGATCCCCATTTTAAGACTCCCATCTCTGGACGGGGACGCCTCAAAAAAGCTGCAGCTGCCTTGGAGGATCTTCCAACCACAACCAGCTCATGGTTGCTATGGGATCAACTAGAATTGAGGGATATTCCACGGCCAAGTTTGGTGACACCGGAGGGTATCCCATTAACTTGGGAAACAAAGCCCATTTACAAAGCGGTTACTCCATGTTACTCAGTGGGCTTGCCCGGAAAGAGTGCATCAACCTCCAAAGAATGACATCATGTTTCAAAGAGCCTCTAGAAATCTACCAGATTGCGAACTGGAGAATTATAAATTCTTCCTATATTTTAGTAGGTAATTCATCAAACTAAATGGGCCATTCATATCATAATTCCCCCTTTTTCACTAGCGATGTGGCTTCGAAACCACCTCTAGATCATCGATCATCTTCCGAATGGGCCAGCCATGTTTTCCACATCGATCTCTGAGAATCTATGGATCTGGGTAAATTATAATATTTCACCTTAATTCAGGTCATTTGGGGGTGATGTTCCTTACTAACCATGATTCCAGTGAGGTCGCAGTGAGGTCGTTATAATTTACCCAGATGGATGTTTACCGAAAGCCACCAGATGTCCTGCTTATTGATTCGTCCATCTTGATCTGTGTCGTACCTGGTCAAGTCAAGGGGAGATCTGGTTTCGGGGATTGGTTTCGGGGATATGTTTCATAGTGAGAAAATTGAAGAATTTGAGAAAAATCAT